GAGATCCCGCAATGCTTTTGCGAGATCCTGCAATACTTTTGCGATATCCCGCAAAACTTTTGCGAGATCACGCAAAAAATAAACTTTTGCGAGATCCCGCAATACTTTTGCGAGATCACGCAAAACTTTTGCGAGATCACGCAAAAAAAACTTTTGCGAGATCCCGTAATACTTTTGCGATATCCCGCAAAACCTTTGCGAGATCCAGCAAAACTTTTGCGAGATGACGCAAAAAATAAACTTTTGCGAGATCCCGCGATACTTTAGTGAGATCTTGCAAAACTATTGCGGGATCTCGCAAAACTATTGCGGGATCTCGCAAAAGTATTGCGGGATATCGCAAAAGTTATTTTTTTCCCCTCCACGTCCCTTTAGGGGCTCCATATGAAAGTAATATTTTTAAGATCTTTTTTTTTTTTTCATTTACTAAGCAAGATAGAAAGCCTAGGTGATGATGCCAAAGCTTTTTTTAAGCTTCTACTGCAAGTGGCAACTTAAAACCACAAACACACTCCTTACTTGTGAAAAAATCATTAAAAAAAAATTCATAAGAAATAGGGTTTTGCACCCCAAGTTCATCTTTTTAATCGTTAATCTGTTTAACAAGCATAAACACATTGAGGAGGGCTGTAAATCATATTGTTTAAGAAGGAGAATATTTCTATCCTGCAGAGGTAAGCATGCTTTTGGGTAAAACCCAGAAAGAGAGCAAAAGCCCTTCTGAAAAAGTTGCAGGAAGACAAGAAAGAAACATTATCCATAGCTAAATGCAAGGAGGAATGCATTTAGCAAGGAGGAAGCAGTTAATCAAAACCACCCTTAGAAAGACAGATTATAGTTTGCAGGAAGATAAACTTTAATTTGTGAATGCATAGAACTAAAACTGAGAATTTCTGTCATAATAACATTTGAAGTAAAAAAAAGGAAGAAACTTTACAGTAAAAGTACAGAGGTGGCAGTATCATGAAGGGAGCAATTTAACAGCAACAAGGTTCTGGTTCAATGACCCTATGCATGCGTTCAATTAAAAAACATATATTTTCCACATTACATTATTCAGGTATATCTGATAAGATCCCATAAATGACACTGAGGTTTCATAATTTAAAAGGTCAAGACTTAGTAATACTTTGTAAACTGCTGTATTAAACTTTATTTTGATCCTGGCTGGTGTTTGATAATTGTCCTTTCTCTCATTGTTTTCTTTTTGCCAACTTTAGAGGCCCTGTTTTCCTACTGGAACAAAGCAGCCCCCTCAGAGTTGACGGACTTCTTTACTCTAATAGAGTAAGTGCAGGTGTTGACTTCAACTGGTAGACGGTGGGGAAAAAACAGCTTTAAAATGCAGCAGAGGGATATTGGTTCAAAGACATAACCTGATGTTAACCCTGAAAACCAGCTTGGTTCTTATAAAGTGATTTTAACACATAAATTCAACAAAATCAAACATTTCTTTTCCTGGATGCTTTGTAATGAAGTTATCATTTATTATGAGAGAAAATCTTGATAAACACTGTGAGCACTAGAGATTCAGAAAGCAATGACTCAGTTATTGTACCAACATTTTATCCAACAGAACAACAATTACAAAAAAATCTAAAGCATCAAACAACCTGAATTCAATTTGAAAGGAAAATAAAAGCTGGAAATGAAAGTATAATTTAGGAATAAATATTTCACCTCTATTAGGTTGCCAGCTGTGTTAATCCATTTAGGATAGCTGTCAATGACGGAAATGCTAAATCAGCCATGCTAACTTAAGCAAGATTTTAGCATTTTTAAACTTCACAAAGCTGCTGTATAGAGATATAATTCTGATAATCGCTTAACGGCTTTATCATTTTTCCACTCCCAGCTTTATGGTGATCTAATTGGATAAGATTAATTTAACCCTGAGTATGTCAAAGGTATGAATCATCTTTCACTAAGGAATAAACATTGTCTAAAACTTGTAAGAACCAGAAAAGGCATTTTGGAAGTATCCCAAAATTTATATTCAGCAATATTACCTAAAAACAATTTAACATAACATAACTAAATGCAATACAGAACATGTAATTAAACTAAAATACTATTTAAATTTTTTTTTAAAGTTTGGGAATAAACAAACATTAGCGTTAAATGATTGAATGCATCTTGTTTTTTGACACGTAAGATGGATACAACCTAAGATAACAGCAACTAACATGTCTGGAGACCCCATACATCCTGAATACAAAATAGGCAGACTTGAGGATGATTTTAGAAAAAACTTGTCATCACAAAAATACGGAAGAGGATTAGGGCCACTGAAAAAAAATAAAAAGTTAACTGATTTTTGAATTTTATTTCAGTTTTATTTCAGTTCAGAATTCTGACTTTAATCTCAGAATTCTGACTTTTTTCCAAATATAATTGATGACTAATTCTGTGCTCTCAGCTCACATTTCATGTTAGTACAGCAATGCAAGAATACGGTATCAAACCAAAGTTCAGCTTATCTTATTTACATCATAGTCATATGACATTGTTTCACCACTGTTAGCTTCATTACCTCATTGCTATTCATTGTCACACAGCCACTGGAAACAGAAAAGTAGATCAAAACTGTGTGACCAGATCAGGATTTTTCCAAGCAATGTGCTGTCACTCATGGGAAATGGTGTCTTCCTTCAAAGAAACAATACACTTTTTGTCCACTGGGGGGAGCCAAAATCAACCAAAGCTGAATGTTCTTTATTACTGCTTTAAATCCATCAGAAAGGATGGTGATATGCTAGAGATACGGTGCACCGTTTTTTGTTATTATGAGTTCGTATTTGTACTAAATGATTTCTGCCATGAAGCTAATTTGTTGCCCTTTTTCAGAATCTGCCTCCATCAGTTCAGATACATGGGAAAAAGATCCATCGCCAGGTAATGTCTAACCGATTACATGTTTTTTATTTTAATTCTTCAAATTAAACAAATTCTGCTTGTATTCTTCGCAATAACACATCTATAAATCTAATTTCTCTCAGGAGAATGTTTTAAACTTTAGCTCTTGGCTATCTTTTATCTGTAACACTGCTGCCGAGTTGTTTTGCGAATATCGTTGTGGGTCCTAGCCCCCCCTCCCCTGCATGGGTAAGAGCTTTATTCTTTCTTCCTCTCTGTGCTTTACTGCATGACTTGTTTTTCCAGATTTTAATTTATCAGCTGCATTTTTTTTTTTTTTAGTTTGCACATTAAACACGGACTAAATGACAGATTGACGAAATGTGATTAGCAATTTCTATTTTATGGGAAAACTTAATGCTATGGTGTGTTTTTTTTTCCCATCAGGAGTCTGGAGGGTGCAGGACCTGTAGCTGCAGACAGGAAGTCTTTGACTCTGCCTGTGTCTCGTAACAGGGCAGGGATCCTTCACGCCCGTCTGCAGCAACTGGGAGCTCTGGAGAATGCTCACACCATCAATAACAGTAAGCTAGATCCAGATAAATCTCGATGCATATGGCACTGATTGATATTGGTTACAAAATGTACAATATTGTTGTTTTCTGTATCTCTGCTTCTGTCTCCTTGAACCCCAGTCGGCCTCGGCAGATGGCCGCTCACACTGAGCCTGGTTCTGCTGGAGGTTTCTCCCTGTTAAAAGGGAGTTTTTCCTTTCCACTGTCGCTACAAGCATGCTTAGTGTGAGGGATTGCATTCGAGTCAATGAGTCGATGCAATCAACTGGTTTTCCTTAGATATTAAACTTTCAATCAATTTGACTGGATGATCTGGTTAAACTGTAAAGTGTCTTGAGATGACGTGTGTTGTGAATTGGCGCTATAGAAATAAACTGAACTGAATTGAATTGATATGGAAATTTTATACAGACATTTTTTTTTCTTTATTCTTTTCGATTAACTATACATTTTAAGAAATTTAATTTTGAATTTTTCATTTAATGTAACCTTAATCCATAAGAGGTAATGCTAAGAGTAGTCTGCAGTTTTATTCTAAGGTTTATTTTCAGCTGGTTTGTAATTATAAGGTTATACTGTAATGAGTTGGTAAGCTACAAAACCTACTTGTTCATGTTGCAAAGTGTCCAGCAATAATATTCTCATGACCACAATTTTTCCCTCCCTCAGTGTATCATGATCTTACTACTAAAAGAAAAAGAAACTTCTGAATGCAAATTAAGTTTAAATCTAATTTTTCTACCAGTCTTTTTATTTATTTTTTAACAAAGTATTAAACAGCAGCCAATCACTGCTTAGAAAAATCAGATTTGGGTTGATTCTCTCACTAGTATATCGACTCATTTAAAAAATATCTAACATATTTTTTTTATTTTTTTTTTTTTATCTAGTTTTAATTTCCCACATAAATCTTCATATCTCAGTAATTTTTTTTCACGAATTTTCAAAACAAATATTTTTTTTAATTTATTATTTATTTTTTTATTCGATAGAGCTTGATAAAGTAGTGCACAATGTGGGAGTGGAATGACGATGGTTTTCTGACGAGCTTCCCTGTCACCACTGCAGAAAGCTTCCCCACAGCATGATGCTGCCACCACTAACGTTCCCAATATGATGTCTTATAGTTCCCCCAGGTCTTCTGGAGCAGAGGATCACAAACTTTTTAACCTTTGACCCACAAAATGTTGTCAGAGTTGACTCATGATCCTACACTGGAAAAATGATCTAGAAATAAGTAAAATATTCTTAAATTCAGTGTATTTACCCTTAATTTGAGTAGGTAAATAAGATAGTTTTCCAATGGAATGAATGTTTTTACTCTTAAAATAAGATAATTAGATCATATCCACTAGAAATAAGACAATGCAATTGAGTTTTCTTATTTTAAGTGTAAATTGTGTTGTTCCATTTGCAAAATGTCTCTGTTACCTCCTCAATCAAAGAAAACATGCACTTATTTTAAGAAAAAATGACCTATCTAGATTTCGATTTTTTTCCCGTGTAATAATTGGTTGACTATAGAAATGTTTCTAAAATCACTTAACCAGTGGTGTAAATATATAATACAAAAAGCATTGGCAACCAAAGTAGTTGGTTTTCCCCATTTATAAGAGATTATTTTTTATTTTAAGCACTTTAATTTGAATATTTATTGTTTATTTTAATAAAAAAATGGTGAATCTTAATACCCCATCCTGTTTGATCTTAATACCCCAAATGGGATCACATTCAGCAGGCTTTAAAGTTCATAAAGAAGTCTGTAAATCACGCAGAACTGCTCGAAAGAATAAACTAATTTTTTTGCAACTACAATATAGCAATAATAATATCAAAGGCAGTTTTGCAGATTTGATCTTTTACTTAGAGTTTAAAAATTAGAATCTCATTAAAAGGTTAATATTTGTTGTTAGAAATGGTTACCGCTTACTCCAGTAAGGAGTTAAAACGGATCATTTGTTCCTGATTCTTTTAATTCGAAGTGATGAGATGAAAACAAAAGAGTTAAAGATTAAAAGTGATGTTTGCGTGTTTTCAGTGTACTCCCAAACAGAGGCAGAGGTAAACAGCCAGTGCCTGCTGGAGGCCAACGTGTCTACGGAGGTCTGTCTGACCGTGCTGGACACGCTGAGCACCTTCATCATGGGATTCAAGGTGTCATTTACTAGCACGTTAACCTTCTGCATGCAGGAGCTGTGGTGTTACTGGCTGGTGGTCAAATAACACGCTCTGTTTGTTCGCAGACACAGCTGATTTCAGATCTGGGCCACAACCCCCTGATGAAGAAGGTCTTCCAGGTGCATCTCTGCTTCCTGCAGATCCCTCAGTCAGAGGCGGCCCTCAAACAGATCTTCACCTCCCTCAGGACCTTCATTTTTAAGGTGAATGAGCTGCCCCTGTTTTCTCTCTCTAAACACTTCTCTAGTCTCCTCTTATTTATCATCCCAGTCCTCCATAACCCGTGTCTTCCAGTTTCCATGCACGTTCTTCGACGGCAGGGCCGACATGTGCGCCTCGCTCTGCTATGAAATCCTCAAGTGCTGCAACTCCAAGCTGAGCTCCATCCGCAGCGATGCGGCCCACCTTCTCTACTTCCTGATGAAGAGTAACTTCGACTACACGGGCCGCAAGTCCTTTGTGCGAACCCACCTGCAGGTATGAGACAAAGCCCCTCGCAAGAAGGCTCCTGCTTCTTTAAAAACACGAGAGGCTCATTTTATGAATCTGTTTTTTTAGGTGGTGATAGCGGTTAGCCAGCTTATAGCTGATGTCATTGGAATTGGGAGCACGCGTTTCCAGCAGTCTCTCTCCATTATCAATAATTGTGCAAATAGTGACAAGAACATAAAGGTAAGCTGTGTTAAAAGCTGTGCTTGTTGTTGGGATTAGGTGTAATTCAGGATAAACATGATAAAGTTTGTTTCATTGCATCTTTAACTTTTATACCTGTGATGCTGTTGCCCCTGGCAGCACACAGCATTCCCATCAGATGTCAAGGATCTCACCAAACGCATCAGGACGGTGCTGATGGCCACCGAGCAGATGAAGGAGCATGAGAACGACCCAGAGATGTTGGTGGACCTCCAGTACAGTTTGGCCAAGTCCTACACCAGCACCCCCGAGCTCCGAAAGACCTGGCTGGACAGCATGGCTCGCATCCACAACAAGAACGGCGACCTTTCTGAGGTACGAATGTCACACATCTTGGAGTTCTGCTCCTCACTTGGTTTTAGGGGCGGATAATTCCGGTCTAGAAAGTAAAAGGGCTTTACAGAGATCAGATCCAACCATTTTGATTTCCAGCACCACAATGCAGACTAATCACCCGAGGGACTAAATACCTGCACTGCAAAAAATTCAAATCTTAATGAGTCATTTTTTCTTAAAATAACTGCTTTTTTTATTGGATTGAGGGAGTAAGTGAGACACTTTGCCAATGGAACAAGACAATTTACATTTAAAATAAGAAAAAAACAACTGCATTGTCTTGTTTCAAGTGCATTTTTATCTTATTATCTTATTTTAAGAGTAAAAATACTCATACCATTGGCAAATCCTCTTATTTATCTACTCAAATTAAGGTTAAATTCACTTAATTTAAGAAATCTTCACTTATTTATAGATTGTCTTTGCAGTGCGGTTAAGTGAAAAGGATGAAGGAAAAAAAGGCAGGTTTTTTTTTTACTTTCAGGGCCTGGATTATTTACCTCTACTTGGTTTTTAATGTTGTTGGAATCTCAGATATATCCTGACCCTGTAGCTAATAACTGGCAGTCCCACGCTGATAACTGCACCTTACTGCAAAAAAATCTTAACCTTTTTTTTTTGTAAACATTATTTAAATTCAGAGTGTTTATTAATCATAAAAAGCCTGTTTTAATGTCATTCAAATATCACTTGTAGATTAATGTCTATACTTTAAATAATTCCCCTCAATTACCTGATATGAGATCAGATTAGTCCATAATTTTACTTTTTATTTATGCTTCAACAAGGGGAGGTGTTTATTTTTATAAGGCCAGGTTGGTTTAAGTGGATTAGGGCCACTGAAAAAAAAGAAAGTTAACTGATTTTTAAATTGGATTTCAGTTAAATATGGGAACATTTCAGAATTCTGAGATTAAAGTCAGAATTCTGAGGAAAAAGTCGGAATTCTGAGATTAAAGTCAGAATTCTGAGATAAGTTGAAATTCAGAGATTAAAGTCAGAATTCTGAGATTAAAGTCAGAATTCTGAGGAAAAAGTCGGAATTCTGAGATTAAAGTCAGAATTCTGAGGAAAAAGTCGGAATTCTGAGATTAAAGTCAGAATTCTGAGATTAAAGTCAGAATTCTGAGGAAAAAGTCGGAATTCTGAGATTAAAGTCAGAATTCTGAGATTAAATTCAGAATTCTGGGGGAAAAAAGTCAGAAATCTGAGATTAAAGTCAGAATTCTAAGAAAAAAGTCAGAATTCTGAGATTAAATTCAGAGAATTCTGGGTAAAAAGTCAGAAATCTGAGATTAAATTCAGACTTTTTTTCCATATTAAACTGAAATAAAATTAAAAAATCAGTTAACTTTTTTTTTTTTTTCCAGTGGCCCTAATCCTCTTCCATATTTAAATACCTTTTCCCATCAATTAATAATTTTATAATTTAAAGTTTTGCATTTACTCAGCTTGTCTATCTGATATTTAACTTTATCTGATTACCTGAAAGATTTCATTCAATTCAGTTAAAAATACCCTAAAGGGAAATTAAATAATTTCTGATAATCAAAGAGATCATGCAAAAGGAGAATAAATCTGTAAATCTTTACAGCACTTTAATTATGATCATGTAATGTTTCTCCAACCTCTGTTCTCCCTCCTCCTCAGGCAGCCATGTGCTACGTTCATGTTGCTGCTTTGGTGGCCGAGTATCTGTGGAGAAAAGGTGAGTGTAGAAAATAGTTGATGAACTTCTCTGACTTTGGTTATCTTAATGTCATGAGAATAATAACCTTTGACCCTCCTTTATTGCATTTATTACCCTCATTATAAAAGCAATAACCTGAGTCACTAGTAAATGTTTACACATTCTCTTTAGTAGTTTGATTAATCAATTACTCTGTAACAGGAGAATATGTTTTTATTATTGGTTTTAAACACATTTTAAAATGAATATATAGATTTTATGCATCCAAATTCCTTTTTGTCTTTAATGCAGCTGTCAATTATATAACTCTATATTAAAAACATACCTTATTAGGCTATATTAAAGGTCCCACATTATGCAAAATACATATAATAAACATTTTTTAACTAAAAAAAAAAAAAAAACTTTCCACCTCTTAGCTTATGTGTGTTTAAAATGCTTTGTTTGAAAATTGTGCCCTTTATGATGTCATAAGGGGAAATAAGCTGCCCAGAGTGGTCTGTAGCAGCCCATCACTCAAGCTTCGGCCTTCATCTTAGGTATTATTCTGTGCTCATAAGGTATCTTTACGAACTCTGACTGGTTGTCATGGTTGCGCGCTTTGAGGGTGCAGCCTACACTAGGACAGGGGCATGCATTGCCAAAATATCTCATTGAATTAGGAGGTTTTTTTTTGGTACATAATGTCTGCCAAATCTTAGAGGAATTTTCCTGCACTATTGACTACAACATGTTCAGGGGACCTCATTGTTAATGCTTATTTACATCCATCTATCCATTTTCCGTCATGCTTATCCCAAGTGGGGTGGCAAGGGCAAGCTGTCTACGGGCGAGAGGCGGGGTCCTGGACAGGTCGCCATTCCATCGCAGGGCAACACAGAGACAAACATATAATTTTTATTTTCAAATGTACAGGAATTTTAGACCTTATTGTATTGTACAATCAATACCTCTCAATCGCAGCTGCAAATATACAGTGAACTTTTCCTTACCCTAACACTAAGGGTCACATGTTGCTTTCTGAGCTCTAATCTTCATCAGGGCATTTTCACAGATAACGTTTGTACTTTAGCGTCTGTTGCGCCTCCTTATTGACGAAGATTTATCAGATAATGGGACAGGTATTTAAGTCAACAGCAGTGGTCAGGATGTTATGAGGAAATGAAAGAAAAGTGACATCATTTGTTAATATTTGGGAGAAATAGAAAGTTTTTCGCATTTGTTTTCTCTGATCTCTACAGATTAACCTCACCTTTGGGGTAATTAAACATGGTAAAATCAGCCGTTTCTGAAGGCAGTTTGCTAGTTTTTATTTATGGATGTTTAAGTACAGAGTGCAAAAACAACACCAACCCTGTTGTAGTCTGAATGATTGTTACAGGAGTGATGTTTTTAAGTTTTTATGAGAAAATCTGTGGGATATGGTGTGAATTTTCACCACATTTTAAGTAAGAATAAAAGTATTTTAAACTGCTATAGTTGATTCTTCAAATCTAAGGAGCCAGTATGCATTACAATATTTTTTGAACCTTTAAGTAGGGTTTTTTTTCATACAAAAATATGTATGGAGAATATAAAAATATTCAGATTTACCTGAATGGAAACAGGTAAGGCAGTTTAAAGAAACTATAAAGCATTAAACTGCTAACCCTTTATTCTTCTGTTACTTGAAAGATTGTGTTTAAATCTTTAAATGCCTTCACCAGGGATTTACTAACTGCAGTTTTCTTTATTGCTGATCTTTAAAAAGCCTGACCTGATGATTCTGGGTTGTTTTTTTTTCTTTTAACAACCACTTTCTCTGATACAAAAGAGGATTAGGGCCACTGAAAAAAAAAAGTTAACAGATTTTATTTTTTTATTTCAGTATAGTATGGGGAAAAAAGTCAGAATTCTGACTTTAATCTCAGAATTCTGACTTTTTTCTCAGAATTCTGAGAAAAAAGTCAGAATTCTGACTCTAATCTCAGAATTCTGAGAAAAAGTCAGAATTATGAGATTAAAGTCAGAATTCTGAGAAAAAAGTCAGAATTCTGACTCTAATCTCAGAATTCTGAGAAAAAAAGTCAGGAGTCTGACTTTTTTCCCATGTTAAACTGAAATAAAATTTAAGAATCAGTTAACTTTTTTTTTTTCAGTGGCCCTAATCCTCTTCTCATTTTGTTCCGGCAGTTTGAAGCTACTAAAAAAACAACAACAGAAAAATGAAAAGATAGTTGAGTCTGAAAAGTACTTTGAAAATTTCTTTTTGCTTTTAAATCTTTTTTTTTTTTTTCAATATTCTCAATTTTATATATATTTTTGTTTTTTTTAAAAGAAAAGCTTTTAACAAAATGAAATACATTTAGCTCCAGAAATGTATCCCTGTATTACGGTAATTGTCCAAAGGTCAGGTCTTATTTTTTTCAATATATAAGTACAAAGTACCTGTGAAACAATATGAACTAGTTTTAACTTCATATGAAGCAGTGCTAATGTGCTCAAATATTAATGAAAAGTGCTGAGCATTGACAGTGGCTTATTTACAGACCTTTGCAGAGGTAGATAAGGTCACTAGTCCATATAGGCTGATCATCCAAAATTAAGGAAATTAAGGCGGATCAATCGACCTGCTATCCGTCGGTTCGACCATAACCAGTAAAACTCAGAATGCTGTACACTTCTAGTCTGAACAAATAGATTTTTGTTCTTATCTTAACTTTTTCCTAAGTAAACATTGATATTTGTCCTCGCTTCTCTACATTTTAATGCAACAGGAACGTTTCTTCTAGAACAGGGGTCTGCAACCTGCGGCTCTTTGGACCCAATATAATGGCTCTTCATAGAGGCTAAAAAGGACAATTTACTTTAATAACAAACACCAGTCAGGAGCTTTAAGTGTTTTTATAAAGAATATTTAAAACAAATCTTCACAACAGAATGACATAAAAAATCAGAAGTATGTTTTTAGAGCCATTTTTCTTTGGATTAGCTTGGAAATTATGTGTTTTATCATTATTTTAAAAGCTAAAAATAGCAATACACTTTTGGTTGTTTAAGATGTCAACAGATTCCCTACGACAGATATTTAATAAAAATGATAGGTTGTGTTTGATTAAATAGTCATGTAGTATTGTGCTGCTCTAAATAACTTTTACCTAGTCTGATTCGGGGGGAAAAAATGGCTCTTTGGATATGAAAGGTTGAAGACCCCTGTTCTAGAATAACCAATAAAAAAGTTGCACTTTCATGATTTACCAGTGAGTGGATGTAAATAAAAATAATACAGAACATTCTCAAAAGAAGAACCTTTGCAGAGCGGCTAGAAATATGGGTGATTTATCTGTTTATTTTTCTTTAGCCCAAACGCCAAAAACCGCTAATTTTTTTGTCAACTCCTCGATATTTAAGAGTTTGTATCTTATCCCAATATATATTTTTTTACTTTTTGTAACCTGCTTAGTATAAAAACCCAACAGATTAAATTTAATTTTCCTCAAATCAGTTTGAGTCTCATTGGCTCATTTTTGGTTTGTATATCTCTTAGATGCTTTCTGTGTTTCAGGAATGTTTCGGCAAGGCTGCTCGGCATTCAGGGTCATCACTCCCAACATCGATGAGGAGGCGGCCATGATGGAGGATGTAGGGATGCAGGATGTTCACTTCAGCGAGGTCAGACTTTTTATATCTTCTAAATGGTGTTTATTGTACATTTGTATCCTGTTAGAGCTGCACTGATCAAACCTTTGGGATTTTTAATTTGTGTTTTTTGGGTAAAATTTTGGATTTGACAATTTTGGCGTCTTGTATTTTTGCTTTGTTTTGGTAGAGTTAGTTAAGCAGTGATCTCTGTGTGGATTCTGTAGCAAATGTAGAGCCTTACATAACTAAGATTTCTAAGAGATGACAAACATTTCTGAATCCAACATAAAAAAGGTTGATTTTTGTTTTTAAAGCATCTTTTCTCCCGTCTGTTCCCTCCTGATACCGAAGCTTTTATTTGGCGTCCATTATGTGATTTCTCCTCTACATGTGATCAGTAGGAAGTCATAACTTAATAAATTTAGTGATTAAAAAAACGTCCTCATATGAAGACATTATACTTCTTAGGGGCTACCGTAAATCTGTTATAAAATGGTATTCAAAAAACCAACAAGGCTGGCCTAAATATAAGAAGCAGAAAACCTCTTTCCTTCCAAAACAGCCCTTATTGCATTTAAGGAAACCTGCAAATCACAGACAGATATGTAGGTAAAGCCTTAAACATGTTTTTTTTTTCATCCATCATCCTAAATGTCCTTTAAAAAGTACTTTATCAACTATGTCCCTTACAGGTTTTATGAAGCAAAGCATGTGACGATGCATAGGTTCACTAGTTTCTGGGATACACTGCAAAAAAAAAAAAAAAAAGAATTTACCTGAATAAGATAATATTTCTTAAAATAAGTGCATTTTGTCTTGAATTCAGGAGGTAAGTAAAACACTTTGCCAATGGAACAAGATTATTTACATTTTAAAAAACAAAAAAAAAATGCAATGGCCTAATTCAAAGGCAAAACAACCAAATAACCTTTCCAAATGGCAAAACAACCTAATTAACCAAAAAAAAAAACGGCAAAAAAAAGTAAATTAAAAAAAGGTTAATTAATTCCAAAACCTTTTTTTGCAGTGTAAAATATAATAAAAAAGTTAACCTTCCCCCTTTTAACTTGCATGAGGTGTTATTTTAATTATATTGTCATTCAACATATTCTCATTATCAGTTCGTATGAAATCGTACGAAAAGTTATGCACAGTATTTCGTACGTTTTTGACGTTTTTCCTCGAAAAAACTTCCCAGTGCGCATGTGCAGCCAGACAGAACAAAAAGACGAAAAAAGCAGATCGGCGGACGGACATAAAACTGAGACGGACAGTGCAATAATTACTTCATGATGTCTCTCACTAGTTTGCTTGCTGTTTTGTATGTTAGGGTTAGGGTTAATTGTATGTTAAATTGTATGTTATTGAATAGTGCGTAAGATGCGCATGCGCACGGATATCTTGTCTCGAGGCAAGATGTAAAAATACGACGAAATACGACGAAAAAAACGTACGAAATACTGTGCATAACTTTTTCGTACGATTTCATACGAACTGATAATGAGAATACACTGTGTCATTGGGTGCAGGAAATAGTGTCTTCTATTAAAAGGATAATGAATCGTGGTGCAGAGGGTCAAAAATGCAATGTCCTAACTAAGGTAGGCTCGGACTGGGAACGATTTTCGGACCTGACATTTTTCCATCTACACCGGCCCAGATGTCACTGACTCACGTTTTCCAGCACAAAAATTGTTCATAAACCGCCAGGATATACGAAATCTCGTCCAATTTGAACCAAAGTCTATTGATCTCTTAGTCCATAAATCTAAAGACATTTTTTACCCTAAACTGCCAGACAATGCACGTAAGACGGGAAACGTTAGCCTTTAGATGCAAAACCCCATCATGCACCGCAACATATTTTTGCAAAATATTACAACATAAATTTGCCGAATATAAGAGGAACATTGTAGTTTGGTTTAAAGAAAGCATTTTAGTTTTATTATAATTTAGTTTGTTGCAAGGATTTTACAGTTGCCAACCGTCACAAGGATGTGCATGACAAGGAAGGGCTATATATACTGCATGCATCATTCAGGTAGTTAACATTGGATTACTTCTTGAGCTCCTTGAGTTATTTACTGTCAGGTAGGAGCTTCAGCCGGAGAGTAATTGTTGGGGCCGGTATGATTCAAGGAGGGCCGGCCCTCGCACGCTGAAATTAGGACCGGCCCGCCAGAAAAATGCCCGATATCACAGATTACCAGTCCCAGCCTGTCCTAAGGGGATTTAAGGAGGTTTCTGTTTTCTTTCTGCATATCAGTGATTCTCCACTGGTCAGTGATGGGATTTACCATATTTCCATAAACTGTTAGTCTTCCTTTGACTCTCCATTTAATAAATGTATGGAGAAGCTTTTAAAACAAAATATTTCTCTCTATGACATCCTTCCTGTTGTAAAACAGCTGGGTAAAGGAGAAGTCTGTTTTTTTTCTACGTTCAGGAGGTGCTGCTGGAGCTGCTGGAGGAGTGTGCTGATGGCCTGTGGAAGGCTGAGCGTTATGAACTTATTGCCGACGTATACAGGCTCATCATTCCCATCTATGAGCAGCGCAGGGACTTTGAGGTAACATGAATCCTGTTGAATCCAGTGGTACTCTAACCTGACTCCGCCAGATGGATTTGCTCCGCATATCCATCTGGAAACCTTCCGTTGAAGTAATTTTGGGAAGGGGCAAAAATACTGGTTAGCTGATTGGCCTATGTTGGTGATAGACGGGCCAAATAAACCAATCAGATCAACGAAGCATATGACGTACTAACAGAGCGACGACGAAAACACAACCACAAGCCAGGCTACTCTTGCCCGAAACCAGTCGGGAGAAGAGCAAAAACATCTTTTCCTCTGAGAAAAGCCTCCAGAGCAGTGTTTTGCTCTTCTTTCAGTGAAGAAATACTCTGTAATTCCGATAAAACTTGCTCGATAGCCACGCTAACGCTAGTTTCATCGGCTGAAGCCGCCATGTTCCTTAGACTGAACTGTCGCGCTTCTCGTTGCGTCACACCTCAACCCGCCTCAAAGCCAACGCTGATTGGACGTTCGTTTGGTGAACGGCTCCAAATTTTCTTTAACGGAAAGTAGCCAGACTGATCTGCGAGTGAAACCTTGAAAGCTCGCAAGATCAGGATGGTCTCACGAGGCTAGTGGTTCTCGCCTACTCCGTAAAATCCTTCATAAAGATCTCTTGCTCCAGTGAAATTAAGTCTTGGATGGATCAAAAATGGTGACGACTCCGACTGTTCAGATGTTTAACAATCGTTTGTTTTATCCTCATTTAGACATTCAAAACATTGGATTACAGTGACCCATATTGTTTAAAGGATTTAAGCTCCAGCTCTAGATGTAAATCAGATTAATGGCTTCCCTAATGGCTATTATCAGCTCATTTCTCACACAAATGACTAGTTGTTTCCCTCCTTCATGTGCTTCTTGGTGACTTTCCAAAATGTAAAACATTTCTTAATATGTGGGACAGAAACTGACACACCTCTACGACACCCTCCACCGCGCCTACACCAAAGTGATGGAGGTGATGCATACTGGAAAGAGACTGCTGGGCACATACTTCAGAGTGGCTTTCTTTGGACAGGTGAGGTTAAAAGCATTCCATTAAAGCTGGATGGGGTCAAACTATGCTATATTGCTGATATATTCATCTCTTTAATTCCAATTTTTCCCCTCTTTTTGCTTGCTCTGGAAGGCTGCTGTAAGTCTATAGTAGTTATTGGGGGATGTGTGTAACTGATGGTACTTGCAAGGTATCAGTGATGAGCTTCATCTGTTGAGCCTCGAAACTAGAGCTTCTGCATTTATTGCACATATTTGGTGCCCATGTAGCTTCATTTGCCCAGAGAAGTCTAATAAAATGGTTTCTAATTTATTGGTTGCCAGAATCTGTGGTTCAGAAAGAGCAGCTATCTTGCTTGATTTAAGTAATTCCTGCAAGTTGCTTACCGATATACTTACTGGTGTTAGATGTGTGTTTAAATGTGATCAGGTAAAAGTGGATTTAGTGTTTACACGGGTTGTCAAAAGCAGCGATGCTCTGAAAAGTATTAAAACCTAAACGCTGCATCCATATATAATACTAAATAAGCATCTATACTAAATTAGAGCATATTTTTGCTATTGTTTATTTTAGATTTCTAGATTATTTTCACATTTAAAGAATAAAACCTCAAACAACCTTTGAATATTGTAATTGTGTTAAATTTAGCTTATTTATTTTACATGTATTTGCAGATTTGATTAACTAATAACAAAAACTATTGAGAAAGGATGTTCAATGTTGAGATTGGAAAAAAAGGTGAAGTTTTTCATGTTATTAAACACATTTTTTATGCTTTTAATTAGGGCTGAAGCAATTGCTCAGATAAACTGTGATTAATCGATTATTAAAATGATCGTCAACTGATGAAGTAATCGAATATTCGTTAACTGGACTATAGAGACTAAAAAATGCCTTTAGCTGGCAGTGCAACCCACTTACAGTAGAGCAGTAATTATATTAAAATTGTAAAAATATATATAAATATTTTGCATTTAAGATTGAAAAAAAAAAATATCTGTCAATGTGCCCTTTCCAGATCTCCTCAAGTGTTTAATTTCACCTGGTTTAATTGGAAAAATAATCAACAGATTAATCGATTTGCAAAATAGTTTTTAGTTGCACCCATAATTTTAATTGTTCGACATTTTTTTATTTCCATGGTATCACAAATGGTGTCCAGTAGAGAACATTTTCCTGGGTATCGATAGTTTGTAATTTTAATTTTTGCGACAACCCCTAGTGTTTACACACTTTAAAGATAATTAAATAAGCAATAAAAAAACTTAAAATTACTATTTAGTTGCAGTCTACAACTCTGACACTAGATGGCTCTGCTACATCTTATGGAAAAGGTTTCAGTCTTTTTACTTTTATTCATTAAAGACTTCTTAAGCAGTTTAAGGTTTAGTATGGAAGTATGGAAAACTTCAGGGATTAAATCTTTAGTTTTATTCCTGTCAGCTCATGATCATGAAATATGTCCCTCCGGGCTTTTTTAATTAGCAAACCGCCTCTTTGTGTCTTTACAGTCATCCAAGTTGATCCTCTGTAGGTTGCAGTTTAAACATAATGTACCAAAACTGACTTCTTTGTATTTCTTTTAATTTTATAATTTTTTAGTTGTTGAAACTCTTACAAATTCAGAATAAAATGTTTACAAATCCATTTAAAAGTGTCTTTTATGAAAATTAAATCCTGCTGTTCATTGAACACAAGATTGTTTAGTCTTACTTTACATTCACCACAGCGATTTTATGTTTCAAAATGTTTTTAGGTCTTTATATGGAAGATATATTTTACCATAGAGCACTGAGATTTATCATAGGATGAAATTTCTTCCCCTCCGATGCTCTTTATTTACTAACCTTTACTCCCTCACTTACCTGGTTTCCTACTACCACTGTATTTATTATTTGAAAAGAGCAGCTTAAGCTTCTCTTCACCTTTTATTTAAGGTTAGTTCTCCTTCTATGTGTAGATATTTGAGAAATGTTCTTAAAAAACCTCAACAAATCTCATATGTGTGCAGTGTAACTTAGTGGGAGGATATGAAACACAGTGTAGGAAAAAGTGAACAGTGTGCCTTTAGTTAGAATTAATTAAAATCGGAGGCCCATTTATCAATAAGAGTTATCTACTGTATATAAATAGAAAATAATTTAATTTCTTCGTTTACTGCAGGGTTTCTTTGAGGATGAGGACGGAAAGGAATACATCTACAAGGAGCCAAAGTTTACCCCCCTCTCTGAAATCTCCCAGAGGCTTCTGAAGCTCTACTCTGACAAGTTTGGCCCCGAAAACGTCAAGATCATTCAGGATTCTGGCAAGGTGGAACTGAGGACTAAGCAAACCTACTTAGCGAACTTTATGCACTTATTGCAGCTTTATCAGGGTTCCTAGAAGCCTGATAAGGAAGAGGATGTGTGATTTAAGATTAAAAAAAAGTGGGACACAATTATATAAACAAGTTTGAGGTAATTGTGTTGTTACTATGTATGTTGGGAAAAGTAAACACAAACATCTAAGTTACCTTTCAACTTAAGCTAATAACAAATCTTATATAAGTTGCTTCAGGATGCTGATTGTTTGGGCCTTTTGCTACTTCCAAACAAACGCTCATTTCATCTCTTTCTCAATTAGTCCTTTTGTGCTTTTATATGGCTTTTTCAAGTATAAAAGGGAAAAAAAAATAAAAAATTTCAAGAGATTTTTGTTGCATTTACTTACGAGTTACTGTAAAGAACTGTGGTTGTGTTGCTTGGGAAGAACATAGGTGCAAAATTGTTTGTTTGGGTTTGTGAGCACTAAGCGTTAAACCAAACTACCGGTAGCTACATTTATGTTTAAAAAATGGCTAAAACCTCGTTTCTCGCTTTTGCACCCACAGGTCAACCCTAAAGACCTGGATTCCAAGTATGCCTACATCCAGGTGACTCATGTTACGCCTTACCTGGACGACAAGGAGCTGGACGACCGAAAGACTGACTTTGAGAAAAGCCACAACATCCGGCGCTTCGTGTTCGAGACGCCGTTCACCGTTTCGGGCAAGAAGCAGGGGGGAGTGGAGGAGCAGTGCAAAAGACGCACAATACTAACCAGTAGGTTCTGCTGGGGTCACTTTTTGTTGATGATGATGCAGCATTGTTCTAGGCCAGCGCTGCTTATCGGTGTAACATTGGAATCAGATGTCAGCAACAAGTTCCTTGTTGTTGTTGTTGATTATAAAGTGCCACTTGTCTGCCAACCTCTGTAAATCTAATCAGATACGGTGAGGTGGGGTTTATTACTCTTCTATCCATTGCATCTCAAGGTTCAGTTGTTATCTAGCTCTGCAAATAACCATGTTTTCTCTTCATGACTCGACTATTTTGTGACTATTTAAATTTAATTAGCACAGTTCAATATCCTGTAGTAATACTGCCGTACAGATGAGAGAAGCGCCGCTATGTATGAGGGGTTAACAGTGCCTGAGGTAGTAGTTTTTTAAAAAATGTCCTGTTTTTTCTCATCCGCCCAGCAACCCACTGTTTCCCTTACGTTAAGAAGCGAATCGCAGTCATGTACCAGCACCAGAGCGACCTGAGCCCCATAGAGGTGGCCATAGACGAGATGAGCGCCAAGGTGGCCGAGCTGCGGCTGCTGTGCTCAGCGTCCGAGGTGGACATGATCCGCCTGCAGCTCAAGCTGCAGGGCAGCATCAGTGTTCAGGTACGGCAGAAAAGGCTCAGTCATGCTGAAAGGGGAAAAACAACCCATAAATCATTTGACCTTGGTTGTTTTGCAGGTCAACGCGGGCCCTCTGGCATATGCTAGAGCCTTTTTAGATGACAGCAGTGCCAAAAAATATCCGGACAACAAAGTCAAACAGCTAAAAGAAGTCTTCAGGTACAGATTCTTGGAAAAACTTAAATCGAACTGTTGACATTATATTATGTACAGAGAGAGGAGGAGGATTTCTTTTTAGCAAATCTACTTTTGATCAGTGGTGGCACCCATAGCTATTTGTTCCCCTTTACTCTGAATTGTGGTTGTTATTATGAGGTTGGAGAAAATTACTTAAAACGTTCTGCACACTCCCCTAAATCCACCAACCTTATGGAGCAAAAACAGTCTTCAGCAGGTTCAAAAAGATGCTAAGAGTTGATAGAAAAAATGGAGGAGAAACACAAATGCTTTTTTTGTATCCCTTTGAGGCCTTTTTGGTGAAAAGTGCATTATAAATTAAATGAATTATTATTATTATTACTATTATTTGATGATATTAAAATAAGGTTATATAAACTAGGTGTTCTTCCTGCTACTGTTCAGATGGTCCTTTTATAGTCTAAATAGAATTCCAGCAGTGGGTGTAATGAGCAGAAATAAACAGATGTGTCACCATCTGCTGGCGGTAAAAGAATTACATGACGTCCTGCAATGCCTCGCAGCACAGGCTTAACTTTCTGAAGGACTGGGGTGGACATGTCCCCACCAATAATTTCCGCTTTTTTTCCTCTCATTTACTTTAGCCAAAGGTAACAGAGTTGGGCACAGCTATCTGTGTTCAGAGCGTTTTAAGTTCATTTTTTTATTTTTCCTCTCTTGCGCTGCTCCCTTGTCCAGCCTCTTGGTGTGACATCATCGGATCTGTCGCTTTGAGACATCTGATTTGCGGTCGCATTTCAAGTAAAAGTTTTTTTATTTAGAGATGCCACTAAAAAATCTGTTTGTTAGACATACAGAGCTTTTTCAGCTAAAAATAAATAAAACAGATTGTAAGTTTATACAAGTTAGTATTATAATGTAAGAAGCTGCAGAAAACATAGTTTAAATGTTGTGTTCTACTTTGCTACTTAAGAAAATCTTGGCTTCTCAGAGGGCCATGACTTCCTGTTACAGGTTAAAATGTTTTCTTATTGCACAGATAGAATCAGAGTGCAGAACTTCTACATATCTTGAAATTTCTTTTCTGGCATCATTATATTAGTGAAGAGGTTCATAAATCTTTTCAAACAGCACAGAGAGAAGTAAGGAGAGTTGCAGATTTAAAGATGAAACAGATTTACTGGGATATGCAACACGCAATAAAATATATCCCCAAGTTTACCAGAAGGTTTACAAGAAAAAAAATGCTATGCTATATTTAAAGTGCAGCATATCCATATATTTTTCTGGATGGATGGAATTGAAATTGTACTTCTAGGGATGCATGATATATCGATTTGGACTCTGGAATCAACTTTTATTTCTTATTATTTCATACAACAATTCCTCGTCCCTATATATATATATATATATATATGTATATATAATGCACTAAAAGGCATCTTTTTAACTATCTATAAATATAAATATTAGTGTATTATAGTTCTCCTGTGTTCTAAACAATAGGAAAGCATTCAATAAATATATGTCTCATTTTTGGAAAATACAAAAACCTAATGAAAGCGTTCAGGTCGAGCCCCCACCCTTAGAGTGCCCCCACCAACTTTCATTATAAAGCTACACCCTTGCCTCGCAGTAAAGCTGCCGTTCAGCGTGGATGAAGACAACCCAAGTTCTAGTTAATCCTAACAGAATAAAGGACAAAATAAAATATTTTCTTACTAAACGCAAACAGGGACTCTTCATCAAGCTTAGAAAGTCACAGGCTAAAACCCTCTGATGGGAATAAAAGCAAATTAAACATAGAAAGCTGCTTCCCTGTTAGTGCATCATTTTAGATCTGAATTTAATCTGAATTTGAATCTGGATTCTATCAGCTGTTAATTTCAATCCATTAATCTATATATAATGTTTGTACTATAAAAAAAGTTAACTTAGCATTGCTGCTATTAGTGTCAGTGATAGTAAGGATGTGTTCTCACGCATTGATCAGCTTCACAGCAACAGCTGAATCCCTCTGTGATTCAAGCTATAATCTGAGAAATTTCTTATTACTCTTGGAATTAATTAAATATATCTTTTGCACATTTTCACACAGCTTGGATATTTCTTTATTATTTTTAAAGCTTTGCTGGGAGATCCACAGTCGCTCCCCTCCATTGAATCCCTTGTTTACCGAGTCTTAAATACACAGAAGCGTTTATTTAATGCAAACTGGGCAAAAAACATATAATAAAAGACCAAAAATATAACTTATACACCAGTATGTAATAAATGTAGTAAAACAAAACAAAGTTTTTCACATTATTTGTGCAAATTTAAGAATTCATTTCTTTCCACCTCCCAATTTTGCCCTATTCTGTATTGATTTTGCATAGAAAAAAAATAACAGATGAAATCAATGCATTTGTTCTCAAATTTGTAGGCAGTTTGTGGACACCTGCGGCCATGCACTGGGTGTGAATGAACGCCTGATTAAAGAAGACCAGCAGGAGTATCACGATGAGATGAAGGCTAACTACAGGGACATGATCAGAGAGCTGTCCAGCATCATGCACGAACAGGTAGGGATTATCATCTTAGAAGATGCCCTATGCAATATAATTATTAGTCCGATTTTCAGCAAAACAGTCGTGCTTTGGTTTGAATCATCCAACAATAAGGATGCTTCTATCCGTCCATTTTAGTTGCTACTAAAGCACATGACGTACCTTAACATAGAGCTACTTTCTGCTGGGAACTTTACTTACTAACCATGTCTTTCTTCTGCTCTCCTCTTGCCGCCGCTGAGAAGATTGGATGGTAATGCTGTCATTTCATAAATACTTTTGAATGCAAAAGAATGAAAAAGTGTTTTTTTTAATTCCCCTCCAACAACGAGACGAGATGATGTGTATTTGCAGCATGATTTAGTTAATTAGGCTGTGATTTAAATTAAGCGAGTGTATGAAGATATGATTTTTATTTTTTTAATCGGGTCCCAGAATGAATTAAAATTCCTGTGCTGTGTTTCTTTGTGTGCGTTTAAGCCACGTCTGTTTTTAACAATGATTCATTCAGCCTGCATGCATCTCTTTGCCGCTATGTTGTGGTGTTTACCTGCATGAGCATGCCTTGCATTGTTATTCGACTAAGCTTAAGTTCTATAGAGCCTTCAATAATACTGTGTGCTTTGTTTTTGGCACAACTTTTTTCTAAGCCATTCATAAAAAAAATACCATTTATCTTCGTTTGGGTCAGGTATTAGATTTTATATGTTTGAGTTGAGGAATTCATTTTCCAAATTCTTAATAATCCCTCGTACCAATTATCTAAAAGTATCTGATGGAAATCTTTCATAATGAAAGCGAAATCTATTCTAAAAACCTCACAAATTGAGGCGGTTCATCAGAACAGGCACTGAAATGAAACCGACTACAATAGATTGGTTTCCATTTTTTAACCAATCAGCATCTTAATGCATTTGCATTTGACTGTATTTAGTTATTTGATTACCCTGTGATTAATTATTGATTTAACATTTGAAATTGAAATTCTACATAAAGGTAAACTGAAAAAATTAATCAAAAGCATAGTTTATTTTAACTTTTGTGCATTAATCATAAAAATAAAGAACTTAATTTGAACTTTTCATGAAAAATACTTCTAATTTTAGATTTAAGGTTCAATTTTAATCTGAAATGTGAAGTATGGCATAATTTGAATCCAATCTTGAATTTCTATGCTATTATTTTAATTCTTTTTTTTTTTATTAAAATTTAAAATAAAAGGATTCAGAAGAAATTTTTTTTCTGTTTACATTTTATTTGAAATGTCTAAGGTTTGAGTTGGTATTTTTAAGTTTTGAATTTGCTTTTTATCTATGAAATACAATTTTACATCCTGTGAATTTTAGTTAAAATCTGAACTAGAGCAGAATTTCAATTTAAAAATTTTATTTTAAACTTTAAACTTTAAATTCATCATTTTGTTTACTTTCTATGTAAAGTTGAGGACCACTTTTATTGCCCGAATAGTCAAAGCAATTTAATTTAGGAGAGAATTCAAAATTGAAAAGCACTTATATCTACAGCATATCGCCTAATTTGGATGTTAAATTGATAAATAATTTCAAAAATCCCACTAAAATGTAATGAATTGAAACATCTACTTTTTCTAGATCTACCCTGTGGATGATGGTACCAGGAGTGCTCTCTCTGACTCTATGGGTATCTTTAACGCCATCAGTGGCACACCCGGCACCAACACACACGCCTCAACCACCATCCTCTGAGTCGGCCTCCGTCACCGCCAGCCATCCGATTGACGTCCCAACGCGTTAATGTGGGAAAATTTACAGATGCATTATTTCCGTCCATGTGTCCAGCAAAAAAAAATATACATCTATTCTAGTTCTCTTTCTTGTTTCCTATGGAGACTTTATTTCTTGTTGCGTTTTACTTTAAAAGAGCTCCTGTTGCATTTTGCAAGTGGGAAACTGTGACTGAAAACCGACGTACGGAGAACTGGAGTATTTTTTAGGTTCATGGTGATTACAGCTTTACAAAAACTACATCTATTAGTGATCATGTACAGTATTTTTTGAAATACTTTTTTAGAAAAAGATTTTCCATCAAGACCCTCGTAGAGCAGATACATTTTGTATTTAATTTTTTAAAATAAATCAGTTTTCTATTTTAGGCCCATGGAGCTGTGTATAAGCTCTCTAAAGCCACGTGAATCACAATATTTGGACCTATTTTGTTTTATATTATGTCTCCTGGTTACCAAGGAAACCTACAGGACAAAAGGACATTTTTGCCAAAGATGGAGGAAGATCATCACCAGGACAAGGGTTTGCAAATTTGAATTCAGCTACTTCTTTGTCTGTAATATAGATGTGTTTTTATTAGCTGTAAGCTTAAATTAAACGGCAAAAAAAAAGATTTTTACTCAGTGTCTGTAAATATATTAAGGAACTGTGAATAAATAAAACATGGTGTAAATATTTGCTCCCTTTCTTTAAAATATGAAACAGGCTGAACTAAATCAAGCTTTCTGGGATTTTGCAAAGATACAGACGTTTTAGTTTTATGCTCCAAGTCGTATGGTAACAGCTTGGAAATGCCCCCATTTATTCCTCTCATGCACAATTGCATCGATACCAATGCTTGGCCTCATCATCTCAACCAGCATCAATGTCTGACCTAACAAATAAAATGCTCCAGTATTACCATAAATACATCTTTAACGTTGTGGACGCCCTTCTTAGACAAACTGAAGCTGCTTTTGTTGCATATCAATCCATTATAACTGGTTTATTTAGTGTTTGTTAAGCCTTTTATCATACTTGTTTCCACGAAAGCAATATACTCTCCTCACATTTTACTCAGCTGAAGTTTGTTGAACCCTTTTAACCCAGTCCAAATCCGATGGAGGTATTGTTTCACAGATAGCGGACATGAAGAAGGAAACATGGTTAAGCATTAAAGGTTTAGTGGAGGATGTTCTTTTTCTGGGTGGATCATCAAAAAAAGTAGTCCCAATAATTGTCAATCATTCTGGTGATATGTTTACATAAAGCCGTCGTACGTCCTTGTCTCCATTTTCACTTACTGGAGACGAGTCTGACATAGTGGAAAAATTGCTAATCTTTTGTAAAATAAGCTTGTATGAGCGATGCAAACTTGCAACTTTTAAACAGAGCGTGCACGAGGAGAAATGGGCTCGTGCACGCTCTTGCATGCATTTAATAGATACATTGTGAGCGGGTACAGGGTTGTGCATGTGCATTTTTTTAAGTGGAGAGCAGTGTTGTATAGTAACAAAGTAAAAAATACTTCATTACTGTACTTAAGTATATTTTGGAGTACTTTATACTTTGCAAGAGTATACATTTTTTTGAGAACTTTCACTTTTACTGCACTACATTTACGAACTTAATTGCATACTTTTACTCTGATGCATTTTCAGTGTTTGGTTTAGTTACTAATTAAAAAAAAAAAAAAAAAACGAGCGAGAGAAACGCAAGTGTTTTGACCCCGCCTACTGACTACAAAGTCAGGTCTTGCCTGGGCTTCTTCATCAACACCAATATTATACGTCTTTTTTGCAAAGCCAGTCTAAATTTATCCTACACTTGGTTGTTTATATTATTTTAAGTGAATTTAACCTTCAAAGTTTACCAAAATGTAAAAAAATGTCAATCAAACTGCATTTACTTTTTACTTATACTTTTCACTACATTACTTGAGTAAATCTATTTTTACAGTAATTCTTATACTTAAGTACATTTCAGATACTTTAAGACTTTAAGTAATATTTTGGAGAAAAGTACTTATACTTTTACTTGACTCTGAGATTTCAGTACTTTATGCAACACTGGTGGAGAGGGCACTCCTCTATACCTTTAACAGTATTTATTTGAGTCATGTTTAACAAATCATTGAGCACAAATCGCACAGGAAGATCTCACTTTTTATTAGGCCCTTGCGTCTTCTGCAATCTCCAGGGGAGGAACCCCCTGAAAAAGAGCAGAGAGTTTCTGCCGTCTTTCCTTTTTTATCTAAAAGTCATTCAGTATGTCTCCCCCCCAGTCAGCATTGTTGGCCTCCTCAAACAGCCTCCAGTATTATCATCTAAAGTAAAGCTGGAGTCGCTCTGACCAACATATGTCAGCTTAAGAATGCCCATTTTGGTTGACCCACACAGAAGAGTGAACAGATATAAAAATAAACAGATGTAGCAGTTATTTAAAACAGAAAATAAAGTAAAAGGAAATTCATCTTCAACAAGTTTTAAAGTGATGTAACGTGTTTGACTGAATCCAGCAAGTCGATTTGCATCTCTTATTACTCCATCAAATGTCTCAGACATTTGAATTGAGAAAGCTTCCTGGAGAGGAAGCGAAACGTCTTCAAATCTTGGAAACCAAGTCCAGTGGATTGTTTTTTAAACTTTTACGGAATGACTATGACCTGGATGACTGAGAATCTTCATCAGCACATTGCTCCACCAAACTCTGACCCTAAAAACTAGCCAGCAAGAGACCGACGACCCTCTAAAAACACGTAATTACATGACGCTATATTTATTTATGCACATTACATTCATTTATTAATTTTTTATTTTTATTGAAGTATGTGATTCATCTTGTTTTATTATTCAATGGGACATTCTTTCAATTCTGTATTTTACAAATTAATGATTTATTCAATATTTCTATTTATTTATTAATACTATAAGTTAATGTTACATCTACATATTTCCTGTTACATGCATTTATTTCTTGGAAATGGCACATTTATATATTTCATCATATAACTTTGCCCCCCATGTACCTCACGGATCACTCAATGATGGTAAAAACCATCCAGTTTGAGAAGGCCGCCTAATGAATCAGCCTGGTTCTGCTGGAGGTTTCTTCCTGTTAAGAGGGAGTTTTTCCTCTCCACTGTCGCTACAAGCATGCTTAGTGTGAGGGATTGCATTCACGTCAATGAGTCAAAGCAATCAACTGGTTCTCCTTAGATAGAAAACTTTGTATCAATTTGACTGCATGATCTGGTTGAACTGTAAAGTGCCTTGAGATGACGTGTTGTGAATTTGGCGCTATATAAATAAACAGAACTTAATTGAATGAATCAGATAAAGCATAAATTCTGCAAAGAAATGTAGCCTCTTTGGCAACAAACTATTGCTGAATGACAATTCAGATCAAATGTTGAAGAACAGTGAATAAATTGGACATCAGAGATGTTTCGTACTGTTGTGTAACTGATTTTTAGCCCTGCGCTGAGGCTAACCGGAGCTGCTAGAGCATGTCACCGACTCGCTGATCAGGAGGAGAGGGAAATCAGGAAGCTGACTACTATAAAGCTCCGCAGCGCTGTGCAGAACGACCAGCTATTTCTGCTTGTTTCTGTGCTGCACCCCCTCCTCTCTCTCTCTCCTAAAACCCACACAAACAAACACACCAATGTCACTGTGGCTGGGATCTGGGCTGCTGCACATCATGTGTCTGTTGTGAGTCTTTAATTATATGTTTTTAGTGTAATTATGTTGACATACTGTAACTTTAAATGTGGTTTCCCCACTCTTGTCAGTGTGGCAGAATAGGGAAGTTCTAAATACCTCATTAGTAGATATTCACTTTAATTTAGGCAGACTTAGATTCTTTTTATTTTATGTTGTTAACAGAAACCATAATAAGCAAAAAATGTTACATTATGGCATTCAAGCTTCATTAGCTTAAACATGGCATTCCCTATGATGAAACATGGTGGTGGTGGCATCATGCTGTGAGGATTGTTGATGGGAAAAAGATGGATGGAGCCAAGCAGACTTAGACAAACTTTATAGTCGAAATTAAACCAAATTACGTTGCTAACATTTTACAACTGTAAACTGAGCAGCTTACAACTGTGAAATTAAACATTACCGTTATAAAGTTTAGCAGAGATTCTCATGTTAATACTGTAGTAGGAAAAAAGGAAAACCAATTTGAAAAATAATGGTGCAAGAGGGCATTACTATGGAAAGGTTCAGTGCAATGCAAAATAAATATGGTGCAAAATACAGTAAGTAATAATATTAATGATAATAATTAAACTTTATTGATTTCACATTGGAGAAACGTTCCTCTGCATTTAACCCATCCCCTTTGGCAGCAGTGAAGTAAGGAGGAACGCTGGAGGAAAAACCTTATAGGTCAGAGAATCGGCTTCCGTGACGACACAAACCTACTGTGCCTTTAAATTTTAACCCCAAAAATATACTGAATGGATTTTAATTTATTAAGCCAATTACAAATAAAGATTTTACCTGTTTTATTTTATTAATAAAGATCTAAAAATGTGGCTTTTATATGTGTTCAGCTGAACATGGTGTTGGCAGGATCATGCTGTGTGCCTCCTTTTCTTCAACAGGGAGAGAAAATCTAGATTAAACCAACGCAGTCTCACATATCACTGCTTATTTTAGAATATTTATGTTCCAATTAATTGCTTAATTCCATCCATCCAGCCTATGTCCAGCAGTCTGTGGGCGAGAGGCAGGGTGAGGACACAGAGAGAACCCAAACATATACAGGGACAACATGCAAACTCCATGCAGAAAGAACCCGGGCCGGGAACTGAACCCAGAACCTTCTTTCTGCAAGGCAAACAGCGTCACCTAGTGCATCACTACACCTGGCTGAGTGAAAAGGAGGAAGAAAAACCAGCTTGCGTTTTTACTTTAAGACCTGGATTATCCACCTCTGATCATGATTCATAGGTTGTTTTTCAGAAGATCTGCTCATTCTTTTTAGCTCAGCCTCCTCCTGTCCACACATCGCTTCTAAAAAGCATTTGCTTTGATCTTTTGCATACCCAGTTGTAATGTTATCAAATGGGAATTTTAAAAGCTTTTACATTCACAATGTTGTAGAAAAGCAGAGGATCATTTTAAATACATTTTGTAAGCTTTTGGTGTTGTATAGCGGTTTGTGCTCCTATTTACACACACACAGACAGTTTTTTGTATCTAATGGCACACAGATTACTGCCATTATTATCTCTCATGACTGAGACCCCTAATCTACAAAGCAAGATCACTTTATGGATGTTGAGTTCCTTGAGTCATAAAGTAATCCCCAACAGAAACATATGGCTTTGATAAAGGTGGTGGTGGGGGGGGATGTGGTGCTGGGTCCACAGTCCACCATCAGTGGGCGTTCCAGCAGATCCAGAGGAGGTTAGATTAGGAGCGAGGAGGGTTTGGATTTAATCGTTGTGTCTTGGATCTTGGACCATTCATCTCTGCCTCCCTTTTCTTTCTGAAAGATTTGCTTGATTTGGGAACCTGAAGGGGAAACAAGCCGCAGCCATGGGAGGTGAGAAGCATCCACAAACTTTCTTTACCTGTTAAAGAAACCTTTTTTTTTTGTCCCACACTAAAGCCTTTCTTTATAAGCAAAAGCATAACAAATCTCATTAAACCCTGTTGCTATTTTTTCTGCAGATAAAGAGAAGAAGAGCAAGAAAAAAAGTGTAAGCTCCAGTTTCCAACCTCATCCCAGTTGCTCTGACGGTCCCCACCTCACTTTACTCTTCTTTTAAACAGGTGACAGTGTTCGGCTACCCGCTCAGCATCTTTTTTATCGTGGTCAACGAGTTCTGCGAGCGCTTCTCCTACTATGGCATGCGAGGTGGGTCAACATGCACTCATACATCTAATATTGCTTTTAATCATTTCTATATTGTGTGAAGAACTTGTGGTTTTAGATGCTTTTAGATTAATTATTTGGGATCTACTTAAAAAAGTATATCAAACATAAATTACTCTTGAATGTGAAGAGAAAATGATGTGCTGTGCATTAATGCTCAGACCGCTTTATAATAATAATAATAATAATAATAAATCCAATTTGTACCGCACTTTTCATTAAGAAAAATCTCAAAGTGCTACACAGTGCAAATAAAATCAAAGATAAAAATCAACATCATAAAAATCATGTGGGGGCAGAATAGGCTTGCTTAAATAAAAAAGTCTTCAAGCCTCTTTTAAAATCAATCAATCTTAAAATCAAAATCAATCAATCTTTTAAAAGCTTTACTCTGATGCTTCCAAAATCCTGTGCACCCATTACCTCCATTTATCCCTTAATTGAATGTATTTTCAGCATCAAAAGATCTGTTTTCAGAAGTTCCCCATTGTGGGACAATAAAGGGATTTTCTATTCACATAAAACTTTCTTATAAAGAAATAGAATATGCAACTGACTGCATTGCTGTGTGAGGATAGTTTACTGCCTGATTGATTCAAAGGATTATTTCATACCAGCTTATAATGGATTATTATTATGGATTATTTTCATTCCAGATTTACTGTAAAGCAACTAAATTGTATGTTTTATTCAGAGAATATATCTATATAAATATATATATATAGTGAAGTCTGCAGGTACAGGTCATTTTATGTAAAATCTCCTTCATCTGGGCTTAAGTTAGGTGGTAAAAAGAACAGTGATGAACCACTTTTTGCTGTCAGATAAAATCTTTATATATAATTTTACATTTTATAGTTAGAATGTTGCAAAATGTGAAAAATTCCAGGGGGCGTTTGAATACTTTTTGCACGACTGGTGGAATAAAATTGAATTATTACATGTTTTCTTTCCCAAACTTGTATATTTATGTTGCAATGCCAGACTTTCAGAGTAAAAGCATGAGTAATCTAAATAAAGCTGGTATAATCTGCATTATTTTTGGCTGCAGTTTGGTCAGTGAAGGGAGTAAAGCTGCTCATAATGTCTTTTCATCTCCATCTTCAATGTAGCTGTGCTGGTGTTGTACTTCAAGTACTTCCTGAAGTGGGACGATGACTTCTCCACAACCATCTACCACACCTTTGTGGCTCTCTGCTACCTGACTCCCATCATGGGGGCCATTGTTGCCGACTCATGGCTCGGAAAGTTCAAGTGAGTCTCCTGACGATTTCTTATTCCAGGGGTTTTTTTGTATCCTGCTGCATACGTGTAAAGTTCAGTTTAGTTAACCTTGGTTAAGTTCAGGTAAATTGTATCCAATTCATTTCTTATTAGTTTTAATTTAACCGGGTTTTAGTTCAGCTTGTTGCAGTTCAGGTCATTTCATTCCATTTGCATTTACTATAAAAATTAAATGAAATAAATTCCATATCTATTCAGTTGATTAGATTTAAAATAGCTCATGGTTTAACTTTAAACCACTTAAGTTTCATGCTGTCAACGTTAATTAAGTTCAGTTCAATAAATTCAGTTCAGTGAAGTTTAATTAAACTAATTTAGATTCAGTTCAGTTTGGGTAAATGGGATCTATTTTTATGTAGTGCATTCTTATAATGTTGAATTCAAATTAAGGTTTATTTTTGTTATATATAATTATTTTAAATGCAAACCTATTGAGTTAAATTGAGTCTATGTGAGTACTTCGAGTTTATATTAATCCACCTTAACCAGAGTTACATTCTAGTCATTTAATTCATTTCATTTAAGGTGGATTCATTTCAGTTTAATTCGATTTGTTCTGATTTATTTTAGTTTAATTCAGTTTGGTTTAGTGAAATTCTGTGAATTTAGTCGTATCATTACATTCCGTCTCCATCCTTCTGCACAGGACCATTATTTACCTGTCCATTGTTTACGCGGTGGGGCAGGTCATCATGGCCATCAGCGCCATTCATGACATCACAGATAGAAACAAGGATGGCACCCCTGACGACATGGCCCTCCACGTGTAAGCTGAACGCAGTCAAGTGACCCACAACAGGCCCAGCATGTGTTTAAAGTGTGTATGCGATGTGCGTTATCTGTTCTATAATCCACAGAGCTCTGTCCATGGTGGGCTTGCTTCTTATTGCACTTGGAACGGGAGGCATCAAACCCTGCGTGGCTGCCTTTGGAGGGGACCAGTTCTCTGAAGAGCAGGTTAAAAATTGCACAGACAAAACAGAGATTTCAACTAATCATTTTATTTCATTCTTACATATTTATCCATTTGGAACAAGGTTCAAAAAGACCCTGACAAAACATTTGGCCCATGTTTGATGCAATTTGTGTGGCAGAATCTAAGAGCAGTAAAGCACGGTGGTGGAACCATCATGGTTTTTCTTCTGTTATTTGTTAAAGCTGTTATTTGTTAAAGCAATCATGTTCAGGCATAAACTGCACAGCTCTACAGGAAGGAAAGGGGTTCTGTGTTACACCGAAGTGTGATATGAACCTAATTACGATATTATAATCATCAACTGTGAATAAACAGATATGGGAGGCAGAAGCTGTGTGTTCAAAAGCTACAAACAGCATTAAAAAATGGGGGGGCAGTCTACAAGTCCGATGGCTGAAGTACGGCAGTGGCAGTATCATGTGGTGGGAATGTTTTGAAGCAGGAGGAACCTTTGCACTTCAGAAAACAGATGTCTTTAAACTTCATGTAGTTGATACTGGGTGATAATGATCAACACTAGAACCTGCATCCTGGCTCACATAAAAAAGACAACAACAGAATGAGCACTTCTAACCCTGCGCCATAAATTCACACAATTTATCAGCGTTTAAAGGAAACATCCACGTAGGCACTAACTTTCCTGTTACGTACAGTCAATCAGCTAACCGTTCCACCTGGTCAGCACCTTCTCTATCTCTGTTTTATCCCTGCCGGTTGTTTATTAACAATTACAGCTCATTTATGAACTTTATTACATGTTCAAGGTGAGCGACCAAGATTGCTCAATGATATAAAGAACCAAAGGAGAGATGGGATAAAAAATCACATGTTGCTGGGGAAAATCAGAATCCTGAATCACTCCAGTCTACATGATAAAGGATTCCTTAGGCCAAATATTAAATGCCACTTTAGCTACAAATATTCTTATGTTTAGACTAACATGAAAAAAGACCCAAAGTTTATCATTCTTGTTCTGCTTGAACATAAACACAAGTATTTTTTTTAGCCAACAGTTTTTCTCTCAATCCTTGCTTGTGATTGGCTCCATTTCTTTTCCCTTTAACTGTCCAGATTCTAGCCTAGTAAACTAGCCCCACCCGCTAGCGGCCAAAATCATTTTTGTCTAGCCTCAATCAATGCCCCAGGCCCTAGAACTGGTGGGCCAATCAAAAACCACTGTGCAGCTATAGTATAGTTTTTATTTATTGACTGTGCAATATTCTGTGCAATATGCTGAATGTGCAGTAAATGTGAATAGAATAGTCATACCACTACCTCACCGTTGTTCCTTACCTACTACACTTTAACGTAAAAGTAAATCCACCTGTTTATAAGCCATCCGGATTGTACATATGTCACCTCAAACCTCTGTGCTACTACCTTGTATTTTCTTATTTCTTATTTTTATTTTGTTTATCATTGTGTGCGATACATGTACACTTGCACCTTAATCCTTATTTATCTTGATATACTGTAGATATATTGTTTATTCTGCACCTTTTTCCTCCTTGTTTGCACCTTTTTTAATCACTATGCCAATATGTGACGAGTGAATTTCTCCACTGTGAGATCAATAAAGCTCATCTAATCTAATCTAAAACGCAGAGATGTATTTTGAGGGTGTGACGACAAAGCTGCGCGACACAAAATTAAGTAGATAGTTTTCCCGTTACAGGTCGTAATTATATACTGATAATGTCAGCTTACCTCGGCTATATTCCGCGGAAGAGCCTCCAATAAATTGGCGTATCTCATTCCAGTCTATTCAACATTGGACTCGTTTGGATTTCCCCAGTGTAATCGAAACGTTCTGTAATCTTTCTGCCACTGACAACGGTTTATTTGAACTTTGGAAAACATGTGTTGAGTGGTGTAGTACACCAGCTACTCGCATGTCTTTTTTGCACAAACTACAACAATAGTCCAACTCCATGATCTCAAGTTATCCACTCCCCCACCGGCTTCCTGTCGCGCTTACTACGTCACAGTCAGTTGCGCTCATTGGTCAGAGCGTTGGCCAATAGGCACAGACATGTTTGAAAGACAACAGGCTCTTCTAATCAACAATCTTCCGATGTCTCATTCATTGGGGCCAGACTAAATTACATTTAATCTCACATTTAGTCCGGTTTATCGGGCTAACCAGATTCCCTATTCAATCAAAAAATATATTCTCAATTAAAAAACACCTTCACTTCAATGAAAAAAGAAGTCAAGGATTTAGTTTTTTTTGTTTAAAGCAACTTTTTTTAATTGAAGTAACACTGTTGTTTTATTGGGCCATATAATGGATAGGATATTTGTGTCTTTTATATTCAATCAAAAAAGACGTTGCTTAACAAAAACAACCCAACATAATAATGCCACCAGCACATCTTCCTATGGGATGACGGAAGCGGTTTGTTTTCCACCATATATAAAACACATGCACCCCACCATCATCATACAGCCACTACCCTGTTTACAAAGTATTCAAATCTAGATCATTGATGATTATTTCAGGCTGATATTTTAGAGGCAGTGCTTGTTCATTGAAATAAAACATTTATGCCAGCTGTCGTGTCCAACAGGAGAAGCAGAGAAGCACCTTCTTTTCCATCTTCTACCTGTCCATCAACGCAGGCAGTCTGCTGTCCACCATCATCACCCCCATCCTCAGAGGCAGGCCCACATTCTTATTTCCGTCACACCTATTGGTCCTATTGGTGTTTGACTGTTTGTTTTGTGGTCTCCAGCTCAGAAATGTGGTATTCACACCCAGCAGCAGTGCTACCCACTGGCCTTTGGAGTCCCCGCTGCTCTCATGGTGGTCGCTCTGAGTAAGGACTTCATTTCACGTGAATATTGTTCATCCGTGAAAACAGCTAAGAATAATTACACGTGTGTTTTGCAGTCGTCTTCATCGTCGGAAGCGGTATGTACATAAAGACGCCTCCGACAGGCAACATCATGGTGAAATTCTTCAAATGCATCTTTGTAAGTGGCAACTTAAACGAAAAAAAAAAACAAACCCAAAAGCTCTGTTTGAAAAACGACATTTACGTTGAAAGGATGTCTTTTTTTTTGCAGTTTGGAATCAAGAACCGGTATCGGCACCGTTCTTCCAAATTCGCCAAAAGAGAACACTGGATGGACTGGGCAGAGGAGAAATACGATGTATGTCGAGAAGCAATAAGGGTTGATAAATGACAGAATGGTCTTAAAAGTATGTTGAAATAATTGTCCCTGCTTTGGTGTAGAAACTCCTGATTGCCCAGGTGAAGATGGTGTTGAAGGTGCTGTTCCTCTACATCCCACTGCCCATGTTCTGGGCTCTCTTTGACCAACAGGTACATGTTTGACCACTGACACATTCTAAATATTGTCAGAAACATC